CTTGCCAACCGTATGAAAGTGTGCAAAAGGTAGCCAATTGTGTAAGGCAATACGGTGCAGAATAACATATTTGGAGGTGAGCTTCGAGCTAAACAGAGTATCAACATCACCTGTAGGCTATACAGGAGTCTGACCACCAGTGAGGGTCCTTGCAACTAAATCCCAATCCGTAATCTCTTCCTCATCAACAGCCTTCAGACCATAATACTCATTAATCACATCCGGACCGAAAACATACCATTTTCCTTTGATGAAAATTTGCATGCACTGGGTCCCCGAAAGATTGTCAATTTCTTCATTCAGATTACAGAAGAACTCGTAGGTCAGCAGCTTGGAGTAGGGCAAATGGAGGTGACAGTCTTCATGAGGCCAACTTCACTAAGCAAAGGCAGAATGTCATAGACAGAATTCAACTGATTCTCATCAACCGATCGCTGAACTATAAGTTCCCGTCGAACCATCGTAGACCATTTTCCTTAAGCTGTAGCAGAAACAAACTGAGATTTGTAAATCGATGTGTCAGGGTTGTCCGAAGCAGCTTGGACATCAGGAGTAACACTCCTTCCTCTCGACCTTGTAGTTGGTTTCATCTTTCTGGTAGAGGTGGTGGAAACCGTAGCAGGTGCCTTGTTCTTGACAGACGATCGCAAAGTTTTGAAAACCTGTTGAACAGGTAGATCACTTTCAGCCTTGACGGATTCAGCAGATCGCCTTCTTTTCTCAGGTTGAACCGTATCAAGATTATCATCACCGGTTTCAACGGCTACTCTCTCAGGAATCCCTTTGAATGATTGGAGATTCTCTTGGTTGGATAGGATCTTTAGGCTAAAATCTGAAAAGTTGCAAGGTGGACCCCTTTGAATCACTTTAAGGCTAGGAAAGAATTAAATACTAGGTACAAGGCATAAGGCACCCCTTTGAATCACTTTAAGGCTAGGAAAGGCATAAGGCACCATGTACAACTTGTTGACTAATGATTTTAGTCAATTTTAGGTCCTCTGACTATTTTAATAAGGAATTAAGGAGAGTTTTACAAGGCAAGCTTAGAATTTATTAAATAATTAATTCCATTTAAGGGGTAGATTTCCGGGGTGTCACACTTTCTCCCCCTAACAAGAAGCTTCATCCCCTAAGCTTGGATGCAACGAGGTTCCAAAACGAACAACAATTGATTGACAAGTGTATCAAGGATCCAAGGTGGTTTTCAAACAAGGGTTGAAGTATAAAGGTTTCCACCAATTGACTAACACTACTAAGACTAAGTCCAAATCAACCCACTTACCCACAACTAAATCTAAACAACAAAACAACAAACGACTTCGGTACCTTGGGTGAACAAGTCGGGGTAGCGCTCCCGCATGGCATCCTCCAACTCCCAAGTGGCTTCTTCGATTCCGTGGTTGGACCACAACACTTTCACCATCTTCACTGACTTTCTGCGGGTTTCCCTCACCTTAGTGTCCAAGATTTTGATCAGCCTTTCCTCGTAGGTCAAGGTTTCGTCAAGCGACACGACTTCAGGTACTTCTTCAGTTGTGATACATGGAACACATTATGCACACGCTCTAGTTCCAAGGGTAAAGCCAGACGGTAAGCCAGATTTTCCACTCTTTCTAAGTCTCATAGGGACCGATAAACCTGGGGCTTAACTTCCCCCATTTCCCGAACCTCATCGCTCCCCAGGTGGGAGAGATCTTCAACGACACCTTATCCCCAACTTAGAACTCAGCTACTTTTCTCCTCAAGTCGGCATAGGATTTTTGCCTATCTTGAGCCATCTTCATTCTCCCCTGAATGTACTTGATCTTTTCCACCGTGTCTTGTAAGTATTGAGGTCCCAAGGTCACAGGGTTGACCAAATCCTCCCAGCACAACGGGCTTCTACATTTCTGACCATACAACGCTTCATAAGGTGCCATTCGGATACTTGCGTGATAACTGTTGTTGTATGAGAACTCGATCAAATCCTAATGTTCTTCACATGACCCTTGAGAGACCAACATGCAAGCCCTCAACATGTCCTCAAGAGTTTGGATGGTCCTTTCGGTTTGTCCATCAGTTTTCGGGTGGAAGGCAGTACTCAGCTTAAGTTTTGTCCCCATAGCAGCTTGCAAAGATTTCCAGAACTGCGACAGAAACCTCCCTGTCCGACACGATATCCCGGGGCACACCATGGTACCTAACCACTTGACTCGCGTAGGCCTTGGCTAGTTGATACCACTTTCTACCCACCTGCCCTCACGATCCTTCAACTTAACAATCATATTCTTCCGCCTTCGTGCAGAGGCATATTTATGGTAATACTTCGTATTAGGATCAGCCTCCCTCAACCAATGCTGCTTGGCCAGTTGCTTCCAGAATGCATTCTCCTGTTCCAATAGCCTCGCCAACCGGGCATCCAACTCCTTAACCAAATCCAAAGCCTCTACGTCCCGTTTTCCCCTTAGCCGGTTCAACTCCTTCCTTATGTTCCCAATCTCCCTTTCATATTAATGATGTCTGTCACCACCCCATCTACGGAGCTTGTCCCCACACCCGTCTAGCTTACCCTACAACCCCTCCCCATCGAAACCAGCCCATGCACTCTCCACCACCTCCCTACATCCCTTATCCAATAGCCACGAATTCTCAAAGCGGAATGGTGGCCTGCCTCTGGGTGCCGCCAAACCAGAATGTATGTCTAAAAGCAGCGCAGAGTGGTTCGAATTGTCAATACTAACATTAAAAACACGAGCCTAAGTGTGAGACTCACACCAGCCCTCCTCAGCCACTACACGGTCCAGTCTTTCCTCCACCCAGTCCCTAGTCCCCCTTCCCCGCTCCCAGTTGAATGGGTACCCAACCGTGCAAACCTGCAACAACCCACACTCAGTTAAAGTATCGCAAAAACCTTGTATCAGACTCTCCGGGTGTGGATGCAATCCCCGTTTCTCGGACTGTGCCATGAGGTCGTTAAAATCCCCCATTACCACTCAAGGCAACGGGGATAAACCTTTCAGTGATTTCAACGTCTCCCAGACTTCCCTCCTCCCTCGCCTCTCGAGGTAGCCATAAAACCCAGTTAAGCGCCATTGTGTCGCCCCCAGAGTTGTTACTGCTAAGTCAACATGTATACTGGAATAGTTCAACAAAGACACCACATCACTATACCTCCATAACACAGCTAGTCCGCCACTCAGTCCAACCGACTCCACACAAAAAGCTCCCTCAAACCCCAACCTAACACGCAACCTCTCCACATGAACCTTACCTACCTTCATCTCCATTAAGAACACTACATCGGGCTTCTTCCTGGTCACCAAGTCCGTGACCTCACGAACTGTTCGCGGGTTACCCAGACCGCGACAATTCCAACTTAAGACAGTCATTGCGCAAGGCGGGCCTCTGTCTCAGGTCCCGCCGTAAACAGAAGTGCTGCCTCACCCATAACCGTGGCACCTGCCACCCTATCTGCAGCAGCGCCATCTTCCCTTCTTCTTTTAGGGTCAGCCATTACCGCCTGCTCCTTCCTATCAGCCAGAGTACGGCTATTACCCACCCCAAGAGTCTCCTTTTCCACTACCTCCCGACCCACCACTGCTACCGGAGCCTCCTTCCGTGCTCGAATCAACCAGTGAGCCCCCCCGGCAGAGGACGTCTTCCCCAATCCCGCCCGTAACCATGGACCGTAGGGATAATCTGCAAGAGTCAGTTGAGAATTGCGCGCCTTGATACAGAACTTATCGATATGGCCAAGATACCCACAGAAAAAAACAAAAGGCGTGGAGCCTCTCATATTTAAGATCAGGGTTGTAAAAATCGATCTAGGAGCCCACCTAGGCGCTAGGCGCCTCTAGACCGTGGCAATTTCCCCCGTAGGTGCCCGCCTAGGTGTCTGTCTAGCGCCTAACTCGGCCGATTTGGCAGCCTAGCGTCTAAGTTAGTCGAGTTAACTCGTCCATTTCGGTCGAGTTAACCCGATCGACTTGGCCTATTTTTTTATTATATATATGTGTGTGTGTGTGCGCGGGCGCATACATATATATAATATGACATATATACACTCGTAGACTAGTTTGATACTTTGAATCTTTGAATGATTGAAGTATTTGAGTATTTCATATTTGAGTACTTTTAATTTTTAATATTGTTTTAATGTTTTTTTTTTTGAAAACCATTGTTTTGATGTTATGACTTATGAAATATTATTAATTCATTTATTTGGATGTGTTATTTGATTAAATGTTGAAAACATCCTCATTAAAATTGTCAAATTGCAAGTCTACCACTGTTTTTTTGGCGCCCGCCTAGCGCCGCCTAGACCGCTAGGCGCTGTCCGGGCGCCCGACTTGCGCCTAGCGCCTACTGCAACCATGTTTAAGATTCACCCACACCCAAGTTCCATCCCTTTTTCACTAGCTTCATCCTTCGCTTTATAGGATTAGTGACATCCAGTGCCACTCTAATTCTGTAAAACGCCATCAACCCAGTCCCCCTATTAACAGCATCCAATCTGATAAAACTTCCCACAAAATTCTCGATCTGCTCCAACACTAAGTCGGTGGTGTCCCCCCCCCCCCCCAAGGGAGGTCGTGTGCCTGAACCCAGATTGGCAATCAGTCCAAGGCAAGTGACGCAGGAATCTCACCCGGCTGGACGAGCCTGCAAACCAGCGAACTGTTCTCAAAGGACCATTGATAAGCACTATCTATATATTTAATTTAGATTAGTTTATATGGTAAATAAGTTTTATATTATATTATATTATATTATATTTATTTTGAACTTTATTTTATGTTTTGCATTAATATAATAATTAGTTGAATAATTAAACTTAATGAGCAAATTAATAAGAATTGGGTTTAGTTGATGATTTGGGCTAATTATTTCTCTTTTTATTGTTTTAGTTAGTCGCCCAACTAACATGTTTTATTTGTTTTATGATTTCAGCAGCCCAAACTCCATTTAATATATTTGTCCTTTCTTTATCTTTTTCCCTTATAAGATTTTTACGTACGTAGACAGCAGACTTCTTCAAGCGTTTCCGACAACGCATCGACGACATCTGCAATGGGAACTTCGTTCGTGGTCTGCTACGATGAAGGAAATTCGGTCAGCAACAATGAGGTCGTCCGCAATCTGCTACGGTGAATGACTCCATGGGCGAATGACTTCTGCGGCTGCTTCGAACTGTTGGTCTGGTGCCACGAACGAACGAAATCAATTGGAGCAGAGGTTGGAACAATTATAGCTATTTTGTTAGATTTTCTCTGGTGCGTAGAAATTAGTAATTTATTTTCTAGGTTTGATGTGGTTGAAGAAATTGGTTTTATTTTGTGGATGTTAGTGAAATTAGGGTTATTTTTAGCAGATTAGGGAGCTAGAATTAGTATAAATAGGCCTGAATTCTTTAGTAGAGGACAGTCAGTTCAGTAAGTTTTTAGAATAATTTTATTTCTCTGTAAACATTACATTATGATTTGTTGCTAAGTTTATTTTCCAACTCAAGAATAATTAAAGTTTTGGTTCTTTTAGGATTGTGAGACTTAATTTGGTTTTCTTTTATGCTATATTACTTATATATCTTCTATCATCTTGATATATTATTGCTTTGATTAATTGTGCAAAAAGGATCCGTTGTTCAATTTTCATTCCAGTAAATTGCCATTTAGAATTCTTGAATCCGTAATTGTTTAAGTATTCTAAACCTTAGTGGTAAAATAACATAGTTGATTATAAATTAGATTTTCAATCAAATACCACAACCGAATCAACTGCCTTTTGCTGCGATTCTGAAGTAGAGCAAGCAATGGCCGAAGAACAAAGGACATTGCGGGAGCTTTCTACACCAAATGTGAATCAACAACTGCTTTGTATTCAACATCCTGCATTAGAGGTTGGTATTGAATTAAGGTCAGATTTGACTCAATTATTACTTCCAAATTTTCGTGGACTTGAAAATGAAGATCCACATAAGCACCTAAAGGAGTTCCATGTGGTGTGTTCAAGCTTCAAACCACAAGGAGTGACGGAAGATCAAATCAAACTGCGTGCTTTCCCATTTTCATTAGCCGAGAGAGCAAAATATTGGTTATTTTACCTCCCTCCTAGCTCAATAACCACATGGACAGATATGGTAAGACTATTTCTTGAAAAGTTTTTTCCAGCATCACGAGTAGCTAGCATTAGAAGAGAAATATGTAGCATCAAGCAAAGAGACATAGAGACCCTTCACGAGTACTGGGAACGCTTCAAACAACTGTGTGCAAGTTGCCCCCAACATGGAGTTTATGAACAACTCCTTATTCAATACTTTTATGAAGGATTGCTGCCCATGGAAAGAAATATGATGGATGCAGCTAGTGGAGGTGCTATAGTGAACAAAACTCCTCGTGAAGCTAGAGATTTGATATCCATCATGGCTGCCAATTCACAACAATTTGGATGTAGACAAGACGCATCTCCGAGAAGAGTGAATGAGGTAAATGTTTCTTCCATTGACAATAAATTATCTCAATTAACTACTCTTGTTCAACAGTTAGTTGTAGGAAATGTGCAACAAGTAAAAGCTTGTGGGATATGTGCTGCATTGAGCTCAAGAGTGTGTGGCGGGGTGGTGAAATGAGAGATACCGTGAGTATTAAAAAACGGCCCAAGTCTCATAAACTCGCCCCCATTATCTGAGTAAACAGAAATAATTGACAGGCTAAAATATTTTTCCACTAGCTGTTTGAACTGAATGAATATTGTAAACACATCCGATTTACGTTTCATGGGGTACAACCAAATATACTTTGATAAGTGGTCTACAAAAATGACATAATAGCGAAATTCATCAATCGAGTTCTCAGTAGGTCCCCACACATCAGTATAAACAAGTTGCAAAGGTTTAGTTCTAACAAGTGTATTTTAAGAAAAAAAGGCAGTTTATGGCTTTTATGAACATTGCAGGAGGAACAATGAAATTTTCGCAGAGATGACATGGGGACTGGAACATTACAGCGTTGCAACACAAGTTGCAACACCTTATTCGAAGGGTGGCCAAGTTGTTGGTGCCACTGAGACAAACGAGCCAACTGCGTAGCATGAATTGTTGGGTGAGAGGCAACTGGTTCAAAATAGACACCATTAATGTTCGCTCCCCGTAGCGGCGGAATCCCAGTTCGAAGATCCTTGACCAGAAAATGAGAATCAAAGAATTCAACAGACACACGATTAGTCTTGCTTAACTGGGAAATAGAAACTAAATTAGTGTGTAACTGTGGGACACGCAAGACATTATCTAGAGTGAGAACATTATAAGGAGTGGGAATGACAGACTGACCAATGTGGGATATTTGTAAGGAATTACCGTCGCCCAGGCGTATTTCATCCGATCCACTGTACTCGGTGAAAATCTACAGAGAGCGAGGCTTGGTGTCACATGGTGCGACGCCCCACTATCAAACATCCAGGGAAGAGACGCCCCAGTCACAGCGTTAGCTGTAGGAGACATATAGGGTTGCATAGGAACAACATTATGCTCCTTAAGAAATCTGGCTAGCTTGCAACATACCTTTGTTTCGTGACCTGTAAGATGACAAAACTTACAAATAATACTGGAGCGATTGTTACCCCCTTGTTGCCAATTTTGTCGGTGGGCGCCATTATTATGGGCATTATTGCGGGCCCTCTGGTTGGAAGCTGACTGCTGGTTAGACCATGGGGGTGTCGAAGCGCGGTGAGTAGCATTGGTAGTAACCATTGGCGATTGTCGCGTCTCATCCGCTGCCTTCAGTTGACATTTATGGTCAGTAAGCACGTTCGCCAATTCACTAAAGGAAATCAGCTTTTCACGAACACGAACGGTGATATAATAGAGTTGTACTCCTCCCCTAACTGAGTTCATATGTAGACAGTTAGATCTTCATCCGAAACTGGACACTGAGCCAGCGCAAGATCATCAGCTAAGGCTCGCATGTCATTGAGGTAAGACGTAATGGACCGAGAAACTCTCGAATTTTTCGTGAGCTTGGCCTTGAGGGATATGATACGTCCTCGAGAGGCACTGGCGTAACTAGCAATCAGATGTTGCCACGCATCGTGGGCTATCGTAGCTAAGGAGATGAGGGGCTGTATGGTGTCAGTATAACTACCGAGAAGTGCACTGACAATGATTTGGTCTTGACGATACCAAATTAGATGGGTCGGGTTAACGACAGTTTGAGCAGTATCAGTGAATTTGGCGGGTTCCTTGGTGGTACCGTCGATGTAACCCAGAAGATTAAACCCAACAAGTGTGGAGTGAACTTGACGTCTCCACCCTGGGAAATTCGTGGTAGTAAGTTTAATGGGAAAGTTTGTAGGGGCATTCAGTTGGATTATATCGTTTGTGGCTGTAGCAATGGAAGCCATGTGGGTAGGAGAAAAAAACATCGTAGGAGATTCAAGGCTCTTGATACCATGTAAAGATTATAAACTATACTTCATTGATGTAAAATAATGAGCTATAAATAGTGTACAAGTGAGGGAGAATAGTAGGAGGTTGTAACAACTTGTTCAAACACACCTATTCTACAGGAGCATAACTATCACAAATATAAAGAGATAAAATGTCAGCCACACATATCCTTAATAGTGAAAACTGGGACAACTGGAAAAAGAGTTGCCATAAAACTTTTCAACATTGGATTGCTTAAAGATCTTGAAAAGCTTTGGAATATCCTTGCCAATGATATTTATCCATTGAAGACTTTCGGAGCTATTAGATGGTGATTAGTGTGCATCTATATGAAGTCCCATAGAGAAAGGGGAGTGATTCCATAAAATCTAGAGAGTGCATATTTCACGATCAATGGTATTTTTTTCGATTTTGCTTTTTTCTAGAACTCGTGTTGTATATGAAATTGGGAAAAAAGATGCATTACAAAGTTGCTTCCTGTACTGCAAAAATAAATTGCAAAATAACACTTTTCTTTTTTACTCCATTTTAGGGAACTTCATACTCATATACCAAGGGAGCATGATGGTAAGTACTGTAAGCTTTTCAAATAATGAAAAGTTTATGCAATTAAAAATTTTATGGTGATAAGTAATTTCTATATTTACAAAAAAGGCACTCATTATTTTATGTTGTAATTCAACTATGCTATTTTGGTTAAAGAATAAAAAAAAATGACCACTATCCGAGACAAATTTATTTATTGAAATCATTTTCATCTTTGAAGTCTGTAGATGATAAACAGTTCGTTGGTAAGTTTCAGTTACAATTTTAATCTACATTTGAATTCTTTTTCTTTTATTAACATGTTTGACGTTATTGGTAGGGTCGTTGAGATATACTCCCCATTGGATAAGATCATTGCAGGGAAGCCTTCTTAACTTATTGATTTTCTAATTGTACGTAAATACAAAGTAAATTATCTAATTTTAATTTGTTATTTTCATTGTATTTTTATATGTATTTTTTATTAAGTAGTTTATTTGTTTATAGGAACAATCAATTGAAGGCTACACTGTGAGATCAATATATACCAAGAGTTTAAACCTTTTTTAAAAAAAAAAATAAAAATTTGGCCTTGCAAATCCTATGGTTGTTCTTATGCAATTGTGTAGAGTTAAGAATGATACGAAGAGTTAATCTAAACACAAGTTTTTTAATTTTTCTTTATATTTGAAAGTGATTGAATAAGGACAAGTAATGATGAATGTTCTTTTTTATTAGCTGGTTATGTCAAGATATGTAACTCTTGATACATCGCTCTTTTTCAATCAGGATTTCCAGAGTTTTGTGATTTTCTGGAAAGGTAAATTTATTATGTCTTAATCATTATCATAATGTTTTTATCATTTAGTTTTGTACATATTTTGTTTATGATTGTCATTTTTTTTTTTGTTTTCAGTTTATGTGTTGATTAGACCCCTCTAAGAAATATTATTGATATTTATGAGATGATTGAGGTAAACAGTAGCAATAAAATTTTTTTAAAAAAATTGATGCAGTGGCATCATTTCTAATCATCTTTTGCCACTTTTTTAAATGATTTATTAGTATAAATTATCACACTTTAAAGTGTATTTTTTAAATGTTAATAAATAAATTAACTTAAAATAATACATTAAAATCCAAAGGATAATCTTTTTGAAAGCTACTGGCTCTATTACATTGTAGTATCTGTTCATATACTTTCTCAACCTACTGAAACACAAAGAACCCAAAGCCAAAGTTGTACATGGTTGCAAAGTGATGGAGCATTGTAATAGTCTCAGTGCATCCAAATAAATGCATCATTTAACTGATTATTTCTTTTTTTTTTTTTATCTCACATTAAGGGTTCAATACTTAAGATATATATAAAGTATTAGTAATAACATTGGTACTGCTAAATGTGTATATAACTAATTATTTATTGATTTAGGATAAAAGAGTGCCCTATATGATCTTAGAGTTCAAATTTTACTTCCAGATATATTATAAATAATCAACATACATCAGTACTATTTTATCTTCATATGAACAAAACTCATCATCCTTGAAGTGGTGAAAACAATTAAGAGCCCCTCACTACAATTTTCCTCTTTGTAATCACAATTTCTTTCGTATAACTTAAAAAGTAAATGCTTCACATAATATAGTAAATGGAATTATAATATAGTAGAAAATAGGAATTAATATTATTGGTAAAGTATATATTAGTTGAAATAGTACTTATCTTTAGGAGTAATTAGTCCTAGACTTATGGTGGCACGGACAATTTTGGTCCTTAATAAAAAAATCAGACAATTTGTGGACACTTTTATTGTGACGAGGACAATTTTGGTCCTCCGTCACTTATCTCGTTAGTTGACTGTCTAAATGAAGGACATTTCTGTCAATTCAAATTATTCTTTTGATCCTTGGCATAAACGACGCTGTTTTGGCGAAGGTGACATAAACAATGAACAATTTCGCCTTCCTCCAGATTCACGCGATTTGCGAGAAAACTAGCGATTTTGACTTCGCCAAATTTTACCGCAAAATTCCGGCGCCGACATCAATTATGGAGAGGGGTCAGATGATAATCGCAATCGACCCTCTGAAATTCGGACGAGTGCGACGAATCGTGGAAACCCTTGTTCTTCGTCTCTCGCCCCCCGGTCGGCAATCACACCCGCTGCATCTTCCGCTTTTACGATCACTCTGTCGTCAATGGAGCCTCTACATGGGCGATCGAAGGTCGTGGCTGGTGTTGGGACGGTGTCCAGATTAATCCCCTTTGTTCAGATTTGTGATCGGAGTCGAAGAAGAGAGTCTTTTGCTGCAAAACAGAGTCGAACCCGAACCCGACAATTCTTGGTTTGTTTTTGATTAGGGGTTGCATATTCTCTCAATCTGTGATCTGGGTGTTTGGATTTCGTTTGCTTTGATTATGAATTTTTGTTCTTGAAACTCCAGTATTTGATTCAGGATGGGTTTCCAATTGTGAGCCTTTTAGATATTTAGGAAAATTAACCAAACAAGGAAGAATCTTTTTCCAATTAGGTACAGCTTTTAGATGTTTCAAAAACTGAGCAAAAAGGGAAGAATCTTTGAAGTTATCTGCCAAACAAAAATACAGAAAGGAAGAGTCTTTTGAGATATTTTCCAGATATCATCGTACCTTATGGTTTCTTAGCAGAAAGGCTTGCTTCCACTGCATTTATCTTTGTTATGTGGATGGTTGTGTGTTGAATTTTCATATGTGGAGAGGGGCATCTCTTTTCATATATCATAAACTGCTTTGAATATTCACTGTCCTTACTAATCAAGGAATTGGGTTTGTTCTGGCAGTTGGAATCTTGTTAGGAGCAATGACTGGAGCTCTGATAGGCCAAGAGACAGAGAACAGCTTAATTAGAGGCGTTGCAGTTGGCACTATCTCCAGAGTTGTTTTCTCTCTCGAGGTCTTCGAATCATCGCGGCTGCTATGGCAGTCAGATGAATCCGGGATCGGGTGTCTCCTATATTTGGTAAGCAAACACGGCCTCTTAGTTTTGCGTAGTGATCACTGACCATTGGTGTGATATTAAGCGGCTTGTGTATGTTGTGGATCAATGTCTAAAATGTACTCCTATGTAATGCTAATTTGAGCAAACTTTACATCTGTTTGTTGCGTTTCAGTGGAGTTGGTTAGATTTATTCCAAGTCATTGGATGATTTGAAACTATACAGATTGATGTGATTGCAAGCCTGTTAAGCGGTGGACTTGTTCGTGAGAGCATGAAGCTGACTCTGCACTGCACTCCGCATTGCAGGACCATAGCAGATATAATGAGATATAATGAAATGACGCAAATACCCTCATCTCAAACGGCCATTTAACGGGAATGCTGACGGAGGACCAAAATTGTCCTCGTCACAATAAGTGTGTCTATAAATTGTCTAAATTTTTTTATAGAGGACTAAAATTGTCTTTGCCACCATAAGTCTAGGACCAAAAATGTCTTTTACTCTATCTTTAGTAAAAAAATTTTACACTTCTGGAAGATTCAATTCTTTTGAGCCTTCAACATGTGTGCATGTGCACATACAGAACTATAAACTGCTATTTTTAGATTGAATTCATCTTTCATGTGTAGCTGTATTTTCACCAACTAATTTAATAAAGCTTATTTTGTAAGTAAATGTAAAATGTATATTAACTAAAATCTTGGTAATATTATTTCCATATTCACGTATTAACGTAATAACATAATACCATATACAAAAGACATATTAGTTATATTCTATAATATAATAATATTTTTGGTACATTATTGTTTGCAAATTCTCCGTATTTTTTTTAATACTGTGTAGAAAAGACATTAATTAATTAGGTAATTAGGTAATAACATAATAACATAATTGGTAATATTATGTATGGTATTACCGTGTAGAATTTTTAGATGTTTATCACCAACTAATTTAATACAACTTATTTTGTAAGCAAATGTAAAATAGAAATTAACTAACATCTTGGTAATATTACTTCCATAACTGTACGTTTGGAAACGCTTGATAATATATTGATGAATAACTAATAATGCACATATGTAAATGTGAATGCACTATTATATTATAGATAATGAGTGAACTATATATCCGTTATTTTCAAATACACTATAGTCTATAAAGAATTTCCAAATGCCTCGTCATAATTACAGAAATATCATCACAGTTTTCTTTAATTTTCATTCATTGATCTTCTTATGTGGACGAATGGGATTGGTTTATGCATTCTCACAAGGCTATTGGTTCTCATTTAATGTAGGTTAGCCTTTACAGTGTTTGATATATTATGACTACTACATTGATATAAAGACCGTTGGAAAAAAGAACGAATGGAAAGCAAATTAAAATTCAACACTTTACCTAACTATAGTATCTGCTCAAAAAATTATACCGGTCCTTGATTAAATTGAGATTCAAACCTGAGACCTTTCATATGAAAAGCAACAATGATGCCATCAAACCTCAAGGTATTTACCATTAATTTAAACCTTTAATTACGTAAGAAATATGATGGTGGAAGTTGATTTATTTCCATGATAAAATTAAAGTACTATAATGTAGTTGGACTATAGTGTTATCAAGGTAATATTTTTATTTTTGATAGATTGTAAGACATTCATTGTGAGTGTTAGATCTAACCGGGCGTTTGGTGGAGGGAATTTAAATTTCATTCCCACTTAATTCCCACCTAATTCCAAAGGCCATTAAATTGCTTAGTTTGGCTGGAAGGAATTGCAATTCCCTCATTTTCAGGGAATTAAAATCCCATGCCCCCCCTTGGGATTTCAATTCCATGGATTTTCGGAAGAAAAAAAATAATGATGAGACAAAATTATCCTCACCTTTTTAAACCTAAAATTGATGCCTAACAACAACAATGGACATTTTGAACTTTATACTACTTATTCCCTTTCAATTTTCATGTATACCAAACATTGGAATTGAAATTCCCATTAATTTTATTCATGTAAACCAAACATCGAAATTTAAATTCCTACATTATTCCCAGTAATTCATCTCCCATGGAATTGCAATTCCTTTCCCACGTAAATCCCTCCCTCCAACCAAACGCCCCGTAAAAGGCTGATCGTACCCAGTTCGAGAAAGTAATAGATGTGGGGATCTCCTTATTATGAATGTTAGTAATTGAATGATTGGTACAAGGAATACAGTTTATGATCTTCTACTAACTATTGTCAAGAAGGCGGTTGCGTGCTAGTTAGGTGTGGACAATTCAGTTCGGTTTATCCTAATCGAACTAAACCGAATTGAACCGAACCAAAATAGTAATATATTGAAAAATTAAACGGTTCGAAATTCTAGTAAACCGAACCGAATACGTTTAATAATAATAATAATAATAATAATAATAATAATAATAATAAAGAAGTAAATCTAAGTTCCTTGATGTCTGCTCCGTCATTCAGTTCTTATTCTCACTAGTATCTCTATTAAATTTTTTATTTGATTTCTTTATAGCTTGTTCTCTATTTTGCACTTTTGTTGTTTATTGCAATTGTTATTTACCTCACAATTAGTACTTAGTAGTATGTTTGAACTTTGAATTGCTATTTTGTTATATAATGTTTAGATTTTAGATATGGATTATATGAATATGTATTGTTTGGTAATATATTCGGAAGATTATGAATGTTGGAATTTGAGGATCTTAAACAGAACCGAATTAAATCCGAACAAAAATCGAACCGTTTCAAATCGAACCGAACTCTAATGTTAAACCGAATGGTTTAATTTTTAAAAACTGGAAAATCGAAACCGAAATAAAAAAAAAAACCGAATCGAAACTTGAAACGCCCACCCCTACTACCATCTACTGATTCAGAAGAGGCAGAACCGCTGATTGATGCCAAAATGATTCCTCTGTTTTCACTTGCTTTTTCTCCTTTTATTTTTTTTTTTCATTAGATAAAACTATACTGGTTCTACTTTTTTTTTTTTTTTTTTGAACACACTATATTGTTTTTACTTGTTTTCACATCCAACTAATTAACTATGAATACCCTTGAATTTAATTGTTTGGTGGGCGATTGCCGTATTTGGGCTGAAATTGATTGACCCAATTGTTATTTAACTTCTATTAATTTGGGTAATTGGGCAGTGGGTCTGGTTAATTTTTAATCTTGGATTTGTGCTCGTGTGTCTAATGGCAGCAGAGTTTTGGATTGAATTTTCATTGTTGAGACTTTTGGTTTAATTCTGGGCTGAAACTATTTGAGTTGATGTAAATTAATTGCCACCAGAGGTTGGTATTCCGTGTCATTAAGTCAAGAACATTTCTGTTGGGCAGCTCAAGGATATGACATGACAGCTAGACATGTCATGCTTAACTGCTTAAGGTAGTAGTTTTCAAATCTGTATATATTGAACCCATAACCATGAGTAAAGAATTTTTCGTTATTTATTCCTTTGCCATGAATGAGTGTCCATAGCTTATAGCTTAGCTTTGCTCTCACGATATGGTATCGGAGCATGGACATGGTATCACAGCCTTAAAATCGAAGAATGTTGGATGAAAATAGCGAGATTTCCAGTAGTGATTATATCCCTACCACATTTCATTATCAACCCAAAAAATATTCAACAATTTGTCAAGTCAACAACTTATATTTAACAATGAGATGTGCCATGGATGCACAAACAGGGTAAACACGTACAAATTTATTTAATTAATTAACTACTTTTAATCTAATACTTCAATTTTAAGAGTTAATTCTTAAAATGGTCCTCCGACTATAGCTTTTTCTCAAATTGGTTTCTTGACTTTTAATTGCACCTAAAGTGTTTCCCCGACTATTGAATTTTAAGCCAAAATGACCCTCCATTAATTTTGGTGTTAAGTGGGTGTTAAGATGAAGGATAAAAGAGACAATTTATATTATTTGTTGATAAGAGCTTTGATCAGTCTTTTTTTTTCTTAAAAAATAGAATATTACTCATAATCTTTTTTAAATCAATGCCATTTTCCTTTCTACTGGTTCATTTATCATAGTTGTAGCATTACCTATTATGCCCTTAACAAATAGCATCCTGCCTTGATTATCTTCTGGCCGCATGTGTAAAATTAGTAAAACGAAACTAGAAAATGTTCGGAAAATTTAGAAAGATAAAAAACAAAAATTCAAAAAATGTATTTGTGATAGTTTAATGAAGGAGGAAAGTAGGATGGTGTTTATGGAGAAACCACTAATTATTGTAAGACATTATTTATGGATGAATCCGGCCTATAAATAATGTCACGTCAGGGTGATTTCTGTAAGAGCTCTATTGCATTGAGTCACTGACATTGTCGTTATATTTTCTTCTTTAATTGATATCTTATCATCTTCTATATCTCATGTCCTCATATAATAAATAGTAATTATTCTTTAGCGTTACCAAGTACTCAAGTAGTGTTGGCTAATGAAGGATAAGTAAAAGGAGTACAAACAGTTGTTATATTATAGACCGCGGTGCATAATCGATTATGCACCGCAACCCATATACGGCGCCGTTTCTTTAAGTAAAGAAACGGCCCGCCGTTAGAGTTAACGGAGTCCGTTTGTTTGGTGTATTAAACACCAACTGACACTACAGTATATCCAAACCGACACTGCAGTTATATCAAAATGATACTGTAGTTATAGTGAAATGAAACTGCAGTGTATATAAACTGAAACTGAATAACATTTCACATATTTGAGTGTATATTGTACAATGAAGCTGTAATTATATCAAAATGATCATGTAGTTGTGTTTTAATAAAACTATAGTGTATATAAAATAAAATTAAATAACATTTTCACATATTTGAGTCTATAAATATCGAATGAAACTATAGTTATATCGAAATGAAACTGTAGTTTTGTTCAACTGAAACTGCAGTGTATACAAAATGACACTGAATAACAGAGTTACTTTTTGTAAAAGGGTGCGAAACGGCGGAAATAAACACTGTTAATTTTCATTTAAAAAAAAAAAGATGCGCGGTGCATAATCGATTATGCACCGCGGTGCATAATATAATTTAATGGCACGTAGAATATTTGCAGCATTAAGTTACTAGCTTAAATGCCTCATGTTATCCCTGGTTTCTATGATAAGGTTAATTCCTTTGGTTACCTCTATATCAATTTGAGAATTTTCTTTTTCCCGAGTGGTTCAGGCCAGGTCCAAAGTATAAGGCAGAAGATAATCAAGGCAGGATACTATTGTTAAGTGCAATAGTGCATAGTAGGTAATGCTACAACTATGACAAATGAACCAGTGGAAACGAAAATGGCATTGATTTAAAAAAAGATAATTAGTAATATTTTAATTTTGTTTTTAAAGGGCTAGTCAAAGGTCTAAACAACAAATAATATAAATTGT